CTTATCTCTTGCTATTTTGACGACACGAGTCTCCTCCATTTTGCTTATGTAGTTATTCCATTTTTTACTTCTATTTTGTGTCCATATATTTATACACTGTACGGTAAATTTTCTTTTAATGTTTTCACTTCTCTTTCGATTTCTCAGCGTATTTCCTGTAATTCTTCTCAGTACTTTCATCAGATAGTTTTTATAATATTTAGGGGAGCTACTCTATTATACATAATGTGGATTACATATTTCAGTCTTACTCTGTCAAACGGTGTCAATCAGACACAGAAATGCTGATCTATTATACTCTAGTGATTTCTGAGCAATTTGCTCTATAGCGAATATTGCATCTGTACATGATCTTCCACTAAAAAAAATCCGGTTGTTTATCTGCTTAACTTATATTCTGATTTATTAGCAGTTGTAAAATTTAAGTTGTAAGTTTTAGTGAAGTATTTAACAAGTTTATAACACTGTAGTTTTCGGTTTGCTTTTATCTTCTTTTTTGACTAGTAGAATTAGTTCGCTCGTTCTCCATTCTTCCGGTATTTTATTTTGTTTTATAATTGTATTACGTAATGTTGGTAATTGTTCTGTCATTGCTGCTCCAAAATATTTCAGTACTCGTTTGGTATCTCGTCTTTACCTTCTGCTTTTCTATTTTTCAGATTTTCAAGTATTTTCCGAACTTCCTGTACATTTATATTAGGTTCAGCGTCGTTTGATCTTCTCCTGCATATAGCCTTTTTAGGTAGTCAATCCACGTATCCTTTCTTTGTGTTTTAGTTCTATTAGTTTCTTTACCTCCATTCTTTGACCTCTTATGAAGCGCCCTATTTCCTTTTGTAAACCGTAAAAATATGTTTCATTTCTTTCGGAAAACGTTCCTAGTGATCATTGTTTATTTTTCTGATAAGTTCATGAGTTTCGTTTCTAATTATCTTGTAATTATGGTATGCCTCTTGTATTTTTTTTGACTTGTATTTCAGGTAAGCTTTTTTATTTTCTTTACATTTTTCCTTCACTTCTCTGTACAAAACCATGGAGTTCTTTGCCTTGGCAAAGATTTATTTTTATTAATATTTCTTTCACCAAGAACTTTTTTGGCCGAGGCTAAGATATTAGACCCCATTTTTGCCCAGCTTTCTTCGACTCCATCACTTTCTGTGAAACATGTGTTTCTGCTTTTTTTTGGTTATTCTTTTTTGGAATAGGTATCTTGTGGAGTCATCCTAGAAGCTTTCGAGTTTTATCTTCTCTCTGTATTCTGGTATTTTGTTCAATCAATCACATATATGTGTTTTCATTCGGATTTTGTACAATACCAATTTCTGATCGCTTCCTATTTCTGCTGATATTAGTGCTCTTACATTCAAGATTTATGAGGTCAATAATTCTCTATTCGACCAAATATAGCCCATCATAGATCTTTGTCCTCTACTGTTTTCAAAAGTGTATTTGTATTGTTCTTTTTGAAGGAAAAATGTATTATTAAAATGGAGCTCGTTTATGCTGCTGAGGTCCGTCAGAAAGTTTCCGTTTTAATTTCTGATATTTTCATTATATCGCTGTTTTATTCCTGGAACTATATCATTGCCAACACAACAAATGATGAATATATAATGATTATATATTCATCATTTGTGGTCTCGTTTTTTTATAGTCTGAAGGTGTTCGTAGAAGTTTTCGCTTGTGGTGGCATCTTTGTTGTTCTCTGGTGCATGGATTGCTATCACATTCAGAGATTTGATATCCAGTTTAATTTTTACACTTACTATTCTTTCAGAGGTATTTTTACATTCTTATACTTAATCTAAAAAATGTTTGTGTACTAACAGGGCGACTCCTTCTTTGGCTCTGGTTTCCTTAGCAACACCACTGTAAATCATCAGATAGTCATCTAGAATAAGTTGACCCTTTTCTTTTTTCTTTTTATCTTTTAGCGCACATATGTCTATATTTTTTTACAGGCTCTTTTGTAATTTCCTGTTCTCTTGTGTTTAAAAACTTTACGTACCAAGTACCGATACAAAATATATTTCTCGTTTACCATAAACTCGTTGTCCTCTTTCTCCCGTTAGTTGTCGTAATAAAATAATTCCTGTTTTGAGGCATAATCCTGTTTCTATGAACTGTATGGTTTTAAAGTCTATCAGTAGGGTGCTAAACTGGCTGTAGACCTCCTCCTTATTTATCCGGGCTTGGGACCGATAACAGTTCTGTCGAGCTACTGGATTCACCCAATAAAATTGCAGGCGGATTTGAGATATGTTACTGAGAAATGTTTTCATTCCTCTCTAGCGATGTACTTAATCTCCATTAATTCTTTGATTTATTTTTTGTCCTTTTTCACATCTGTTTTATATTATGTAAATTCTTGTTTCAAACCCTCCGGCGCACTTGCAGGTCTATATATTATATAAGTATTTTATTTTTCTTGGCATTTTACATTTACCTCTTTTTATACTTACTTTACTTTATGTGTCTGGAACACCAACAGCTTTAAATTTTGTATTTCCAATGGTTCTCTCATCTCTGTGCATGATAGATGGTGACTATTTTAAACCGCGCTACAGTCGCAGGTAGCGTCCTCCTGGTATCCCCATTTCTTCAGGTTACTGGCACAACGTGAAATGCCAGTTCTTAGTATAGCGCTTTCCATGGGATATCTACCTCTTTTGATAGATGAGTTTATTTTCTTTTTCTCAAACAGTCTCTTTTATTTCAGTTTTTATGATAGTATTCTAATTTTTTAAATTAATTTAATATTTTTCCCACTTGGTTCTTTTGTTTCATATAGTGCTTTAGGCTAATTTGATAATTTTTTCCTTCCACTCATTAAATTTTCATGGTTTGTTTATATTTGTTTATAATAAAATTGTTTTCTTTCACAGTGAATTTTTCCAGTTTAATACTTTTTTCTAATGAAAATTTTTGTTTTTCAAAATGTAGTTATATCCGCGATTTGTGTCCGCTTGGTAAAAGTATAATTTTTTTGATCTTATTTACTCAAATGTGTTATTATTTTTGTAGTCATTTTAGGCGCAGAAATTTTTAAGTGTTCTCCATTTTTATTTTGTATACTTTCACAGATTTACTTCATGCCTGGTACTATGTCGTTACCAAATCTTGTATTTATATCTTTCATGGTGATTAATGCAATTATTGTTTTTATTCTCACCATCTGTTTAAGATTTTCGAAATATTTAACTCTGATTTGTATTGGTAGCGTTTCCTAGGGCCCACATATACTTGATATTTTTAATCTATATTGTTGCGTTTTTGTTTCATCCACTAGGATTTGCTTAGAGACGCAGTTAACATTTTTAATGTTATTTATTCCTTATCGTATGGTTTTATTGCTGTTGTTGGAGCTCTGGCATAAATGAGTGAGGTATTGGCCTAACTATTTCTGTCCTGTGACCTTTTTGCCTCATTTAAATGGTGCACATGTCCTTATGACAATTTAATCTATTAATTCTGTTACCAGTTTTTCCCTTGTTGTTTAATGCTGTAATATTACAGATTGCTATTATTTATTTATTTATGTTTACTTTTACTTCCGAATATTTCTTCGTATACCGTTTTTAGTTCTGTCCTTGCCAGGAGATAATCCTATCAAGAATCCCTCCTCATTTGTTCTGGCTGGGTAATTTGTATTGAACTCGAAATTTATACCTTATTAAAAATGTAGAATAATAAAGTTTTTTAAATGAATTTACTTATGATTAAATTTTAGATGTTGACGAATATAAGTTTAAGTAAAATATTCATGAAATTCCTCCATGACTAAATTGATCGATATTTAAATATATTTCAAGTTCCAAAATGTAGCTGCTGTAAAATTTGAAAATCTACTACTAATACAATTATTGGCAACATCGCAGGAGTTAAGAAGTGTACGCAAAATGGTAAATACGGATCCCAAAAATGTTTTATCCTGCTGTGGAGTCCACTTACTCCTACATGTTGGTCGGAGTCTACATAAAGCGCTACTCAGATAATAATATACACGGTGTATATTCTACTGGAGTTAGTATAATACCGTTTTAGTACGGAGCCTACATTAACCGCTAGAAGTATATATATATATATATATATATATATATATATATATATATATATATATATATATATATATATATATATATAATCTACTCCAGACCGACCGAGTCATTATGCCAGAGATATCGTAGCGCCTCTATATATTCTCCTATAGGTTGATACGTTCTGTGGAGTATTTTTTGTTGATTAAGAAATAATCAAATGTTTTCTATACAGTTCATATTTTGAAAATACTTCATACTATATCATTTCTTCTAAAAAATTGGTCTAATGATGAAATTTGTGAGACGGGGCCACGTTATGTTACCAATATGCGATTCTGAACTCGCACTGATGGAACAATACGATTTGCTAGTACACTCACATAACTTTCTCCTGTCATGGAGATCCGTATGCAGCCATGCAGTTCCAAAAAAGAACATTCTCAATTGTTTAATTGAGGTGAGCACAATCATGACGACTCTGCTCTCGTTTGGTAGTCAGAAAAGGTACTGACTGTGGACAGTATGTCAGAAAACCACTTTGCTATAAACTGCATTGAATAAGCGTAGGTTTCTTCGCAAGACAGCACCACCAACCGACTGTTCCAATAGACGTGTAGTCGATCATGGATTAGCAGCCGATGTGCGATCCAGAAGGCGAAATGTTTGAACTGAAATATTTTTTTTTATCAGCAATGGCCTGTCCTAAATGTAGAGGTAAAATCTGTAGATCACTCATGTTTAAATCAAAACTAAATACAATTGTAAAATATATAAAACTTACTCCTTTGGCAACCTACTGACAAACTAACTTAAATGTCATTAAAATGCTTAGCAGATAAAAAAAAGTGCAATCAAGTCCAGCAAGATTCTTTGATTTGTACATAAAAATAGTGTTAGCAAGTAATTTGACACATACTGTAATTAATTAACAGATAAACACAATTTAATATATAACCTTACTTTGTTATTCGTTAAACTAATAGTAGTAACTGTATAATCTTTATCAGTTTCTATAGACTCCGTCTTAACGCCAAATTGACCATAGGTTGTTTCCCAACCGACTTCAGGTTCCCAGTACTGGTGGCATTTTGGTCTTCCCCGTTCCATAGCTCTAGTTGTCATAACAATTACTAGTGTGTGTTGTTCCCATATCATCCGCCAGAAATCTGGCGTTGTCTTTGAGAGGGGCCCTAAAATCAAAACCTTTTGTCTTACCACCGTTACAAATTAAATATTTAAAAATATACATTTATACTTGAAAATGTATTAATATTGTGTATAGTATTGAACTTCATATCATATATGTGGACATGAAATATACGTTATCGGAAATAATTTAAGGTATGTATGCGTTATCAATGGGACGAACTGAGAGAAACATACTTAAAACGATATAGCTATATTAGTAGGCCGGCCACCAAACCAATAAGAAACGTTTATTAGATATGTTTCTTTGAGAGCAGCATTGCCAGATCATCGAAGTCAGAAAACCGTATTCTTCTGTTGTTGTATTTTATAGTACTTACATGATCGTACTTACTCATATTCTATTGAGCAAGAAATTAACAATTTAATATTTATTTTTTTGTAAAAGAAACAAACGAAGACAAATAACCAAACAGATACAATAAACAATTTGTGTAAAAAAAAACTTAAAAGTAAAAAGAATATACACTATTCCGTTAATGTAAACTTAACTTCTTGCAGTTTATCATCAGCTTCTTTATTATATAAATTATATTCATAGTGGTAAACATTATGTCTGACGGTGTAAAATTTACACAACCCTTTTAAAGATAAACTGATTGGGATGAATGCATAATGCCATATAAAGTGTATTTTATCAAACAGTTCCTGCACTTCTTCTTTATTAAATATACTTTTGAAAATTGTCGTTCACAACTAGCATTTGAATGAGGTAAAGTTAACACAGACAATACGAAGTCACTCACATTAGCAAATAGAAGGATTGTCATCAACATGTTTTATTTGACCCACTTTAAAATAGAATTCATCTAGATTTAGAATTCTAGTGGAATATCCAGATATTGTTGATATTGTTTTCTCCATTCGTCATCGATCTTTTGCATCGTTTGTAGGTCTTGAGGATTACAAAATCAGGGCAACTTTGATATTCGTAGTAAACAACTTTCGCAACTGTTAAAGCTACTTTTATTTAGAAGGTGTATCTTGTCCATTACTGGATCTGCAAAATTATTTCTTTTGTACTTCGATACAAGCTGTAATCAAGAAACGCCTAAAAATCCTGTATTAATTCATCATCTAAATCATTAATATTTTACCTCGTCCCGGTTCCTAGATCCACGTTATTAATGTTGACAAATTTTGTAATATTTATATTGAGGATCAATTGTTTCAACATTAGTTTGTCTCACATATCGTGGGTCCATATAAGTAAGCAATATATCTTTATACTCTGTAATCATTTGTGGTAACTACTTTATGGCTTTGGAAAAATTTATTTAATTCCACTATTTTGGTAAAACCCATTCCAAAAATAGGTAAAAAGTTCCCATTTCAATTTATCCACTAGCTTTAAATTTTATTTTATTTACGTCGCTTTAAGGTTTTGAAATTTAGCACCCGAGACATGCTTGTTTTTTTTATTTCAACGCTTGTATATGTTACACGAGATCCTCAAGATAAAAATTTAAAGAAAATGATAACATTAACTGAAATTATGGTATATTTTATTATTATGGTATACTATATCCAGAACTTTAGTGTCTCATTATAAAAGGTATTTTAATACTGTAAAACTGAATAATCCCTTGTAAATACTCTCTTGTTGTCTAATTATCACCTGCCAGAAACGGCATATAGCCAAGTCAAGGCTATAGGTAGGTACATATAATCAGATCAAATATTATCATTCAAGCGTAATGTCAAAAACTCTTTCTATAAACATACAAATTTCCCACAATTATTGTATTCTTTTATTAATCTATGGTTTTGTTATCTATGTTATTGTATGGATTAATTGGACATTTTAAAAAGTTTCGCATTGAAAAAAAAATACTTTTGTAATAATTATGCCAAAAATATGGGTTATACGATTTTAAGACTTCCGCCATATCACTGTGTATTTAACCCAATCTGTCGCATCAACTTAAGTCAAGAGTTAGAAGAAATAATACTTCGCCAAATTTAAATGCACCTGTCCTGCATCTAATAGAAAGGGAAGTACTCAACCTTGATGCAAATAGTTGGAAAAATGCAGTCTCACATATCATGAAAGCTGAGAATTCATATTTTGAACATATACATAGATTTGACATAATATCTATGTGATGTAATATTTATACTCGTTTTGTGTGTGTGTGTGTGTTTTGTATTTTATTGGCACTGGTTTTCACAACCAACTGGGCAGTAAATTTCATAATGATGTTTTTAGACCATAACTCATCACCAACTCAGGGGAGTAATGTGTAGTGAGTAATGTGTAGTGTCTGTGTTGAGTAAATGTCTTGTTACTTTAAAGTCGACTTCATTGTCTCTACAAAGAAACGCTAATTGTGTCCCAACGTCTGTGGTCCTTCCGGTGAGTACCAATTTACTCGTTTTAAAAGGTTCATATATATTCATGTTGACTTGTATGTTTAACTCTTCCATTTCATGTCTGAAAAAGTTGGCAAAAATGGGAAATTTCTTTAATAATAATTTCATGAACAAATATTATTCTTCATTAAAGGTTATACATCACATAGAAATCATTAATCAATAATCTTATAAAATATGAAGTGGTATATAGGGAAAATCAAAATTATTAATTAATACTGAAGAGGAAAGTGATTTTAAATTTAAAGAAAATGTAATTTTAAAATGTTTGTAGGTATTAAAAATTATGTCCAAGTTTAGATTCATGGCACTGTAATAATTAAATAATACATTTAAAGTAAAAACTAAATAAAAAATACTTTTGCATTTGTTGATTTTGTATATTGAATAAGGTAAAGTACAAATGAAATTAAAAATTAATGCATCTACTGACAAATCATTAAAATGCCATGAAACTAAATTTAAATATAATTTTTAATTCCTACAACCAAATTAAAATGACATTTTGTTCTGTACTTAAATTTAAAAGCACTTCACTTTTAAGCATAAATTAATTTTCGCATAGAAATCAATAATTTGATTATTGATTTCTATGCAATGCAGAAATTGTTATGAAGAATAGTTTTTTTCATGAAATGAATAATAAAGAAATTTTCCATTTGTTGTCAACTTTTTCAGACATACTGTATACCTTATTAACAATTGAAAAACTTCTTTTCTTACATAGAATATAAAATATAATCATATTCAGCTACATGTATATACCTATTATACATAAATTCATTTTGATTTTCACTTCACTATTTTATTATTTCACTTGTAATTTGTGCATGAACCATTCTCTTTCCAATTTTTGTTACACAAATTACAAGTGAAATAATAAAATAGTGAAGTGAAAATCAAAATGAATTAATGTATAATAGCTGAATACATGTAGCTGAATATGATTATATTTTATATTCTATGTAAGAGAAGAAGTTTTTCAATTGTTAGTAAGGTATACAGTATGTCTGAAAAAATTTAAAACAAATGGAAAATTTCTTTATTATTAATTTCATGAAAAAAACTATTCTTCCTAACAATTTCTGCATTGCATAGAAATCAATAATCAAATTTATAAAATTTTAAGTGGTATACCGCGAAAATTAATTTATGCTTAAAAGTGAAGTGCTTTTAAATTTAAGTACAGAACAAAATGTCATTTTAATTTGGTTGTAGGAATTAAAAATTATATTTAAATTTAGTTTCATGGCCTTTTAATGATGTGTCAGTAGGTGCATTAATTTTTAATTTCATTTCTACTTTACCTTATTCAATATACAAAATCAACAAATGCAAAAGTATTTTTTATTTAGTTTTTACTTTAAATGTATTATTTAATTATTATAATGCCATGAATCTAAACTTGGACATAATTTTTAATACCTACAAACATTTTAAAATTACATTTTCTTTAAATTTACAATCACTTTCCTCTTCAGTATTAATTAATAATTTTGATTTTCCCTATATACCACTTCATTTTTTATAAGATTATTGATTAATGATTTCTATGTGATGTATAACCTTTAATGAAGAATATTTTTTCATGAAATTATTATTAAAGAAATTTCCCATTTTTGCCAACTCCAAATGGTGATTCTCCATTCTCTCTCTCCATGAACCATTCTCTCTCCTGATACCGCCAAAGAATGTAGAGCGTAGAAATATTTTAACTTATTTTAAACTGTTTGTCCTTGTTTTAGTGTAGTGTTTGTACAATTTTATGTTATCATTCATATTCATCACATTCTACGCTTGCTGGATAGCCCATGTTTGACGAAATGCCCCTGAAGATGCTATATTAAGCGAAAGTACTTGGGCAAGATTTAATTAAACTTGTGCTCGATATAATTGCCACAATGAATAAAAATCTTTAATTACATTATATTACATTCCGAGATATTCAAGATGACAGGTTGAAAAGTATGGGTATCAAACGTCGATGTTTCGTTACCAAATTTTTTTTTTGAATTTTCCACAATTTTTTTATTTGAGAATATTAAAATTAGAGTTATAATATAGTTATTTAACCTTTCAGAGATACTTTTATAGACACATACCTAAACAGTTCCTCGACTGTGCTAACTAAATATAAATTATTTTTGCTTTAACCTTACCTTGTGTATTAATAAAAGCATTCTTTTGCTTGTAACCATCCACAAAATTTGCGTGAATGTAATCACTATCTTTGTCATTGTCCAGTTCAGTAAGAATCACGCGACTATGGTCGTAGCACAGCACATCGGTATACCTATTTTTGGGAAGGTTACTTTTTGATTTGGCTATGTTAAATGTACCATCAGGAGGTCTCGATCTAAAAAAGTGAAGAAAATTTAGAAGATCAATTGGATATTTCGTTGGGAATAAACAACAATTACAAAAAAATCTTTATTTGAGATTTTGGCTTCCAATATGCAATACGGTATTTTAAAAACAAACTGAAAGCTACACGATCAAACAGATTTTTATACTGTTGTAGTTTATACCCATTAGTAATTTGACAATCATACATATTAGAACGTGTAGTTTTTCACGGCCTTGCATTTTGGTGATACAGTGGTGTCCAGACCTACAGACTGTTGTCTGCAATTTTATATCCCTTGTGTTCTTCTCGGAGATGCTGAAGAAGGGTATAAATAGCGTAGAACGGTACAAAGAAATAGAGCAAAGCACGAAAACCAATGAATAATTTTAGTTTCTTCATGATATATTCGTTAATTCACATATACTCATAAAATGTGCGTTTGACCGAATATGGAAAATAAATTTTTTAAATGTTCGTTAACTACCGCCATTTTTTTTTAATTGCCCTATTGCCAGATTCCAATAAGAGCCTAAGAAGGTATCCATTAAATTCTGGCAGGCAACGGTGGGGAAAAATCTTTTGTAGTCATCTAATGTCACGAAGAAAGACACCCTGGCAACTTTCGGCCGAGTAGGATATTATGCCAGAAAATTCCAGTAGTATGACATATTTTCACAGAGCATATAACGTCCAGATCTGTTTAGATGTTGACAAAACCGTCAAGGTGCAGGCTTCCACTTCATATAAAACAGTAGGAAACACATGGTATCTCAAGCTCTCATTCCTTATTTAGCCTGAATGCTCAATATGTGACAATGTCTACTGTTTCCCAAATTTTAATTATTTGGTCCAAATTGGTGTTGTATTTTATGATTTTAGCTTACTATTGAAATGTTTTTTTCTTTTATAAGCTCAGTTTCATGTCATATTGGTCGTAGTCTTACACTATATAGTCTGTAGATTCTTCACACTACCAGTCACGTATTAAAACTTGCGTAGAAAATAATGCTTTTCACGTTCCAAGTCAATTTTTAAAATCCAACTACGAAAATATTTTCGTCAAATGTTTATATAAGCGATCAAGGTTTTAAAAACATACCTCACTAAGCTTACAATTCTGTAATCGGAGAATATTTTTCATTTTTCAGGATGAAAGTGGAAACTAGCCAATTTTCAGACAACTCACCGTTTCATCACCATTATTAAGTAGGCTTGCTAATAAGTTTAAGTTGGCCACCTTCAAACTGCTTTAGTGTTTCGGCCGGAATTGTTTTTGAGCTGTTGTTCTGTTTCGCCATCCAGCAAGCGGCGACAAGAATACTTCCGGGGCCAGATATACCTGTCCGTCATAAGAGGCGACCAATCGAGGCGTCCGTCGGGTTTATAGAAACGAACGCAAGGCGCTTCGGCGTTACGGTCAGCTGTCTACACTCCCTAGTATCCGAGACGAGTCTGTCGTGGGACCACCCTACTGTCGTTCCACGCAATCAAAGTCAGGTTGAACGAGCTGTGACCCTTATACGCCCTTTCCCCATTAATGGCGTATAATTCCGGCACGTACACACTATTGGAGATTTAAGAGTCGAAGAAGAGAGGTCTTCGGCGGCTACCTGTCTACGTGCGAGGTCAAGTTACTCTACCTGTGTTCACCTTTCCGCCCCATGGGGATAACAGACGGGTGTTCGTAACGCAATACAGGGACTACGGGGAGGGCGGAACTCAGCGATGCTTCGTGGAACGTACTGTCGTCAAATGGTGTCGGACTCTTAGGGGTTAGTGGCTAGCTAAATGTTGTATGCCGAAACGGCAGGTATATTTTTGATATTTTTATTGGAGGTACACGAATTTCTTCATGTTCTGTCTTCGCATAACCGGGTTATGTGATATTTTCTAAGCAAACTATAGACTTCTCAATATGGAACGATCGATTCTTGCCAGTAGACCAGATTTTAAAATGAACTAACTAGTATTATAATATTGTCAATGCTGTAACTCTTCGTAGGAAGATTTTCTCTGTTATTTCCAATCAGACCCTAAGCATTTTATGTAATAAATGAAGGTTTAATCATATCGGCCAAGCAAGTCACTTCCTGTTTTTAAACATTTCATATAATTTAATGATTTAAATCATTTATAATTAAAATATTGTAACAATTTCCCAACAATATTTTTTATAATTTTTCGCAAATATTTACATTAGTTTCCATCTATAGATATAAATCAAAAGTTCCACTTTTTTGCACCTTGAACTAAAATATTAACGTTTCTAAAATAACTCACGTTGAAAACAAACATACCTAATATCTTGCATATCAACAAGTAATTTAATCGCGTAAATATAGTTGAGCTAATATTTATATTGGTTTAAATTCAAAAAATTAAATAGCTTCTGCGTTTTTTGTAATTCTAAATTTCTAGTAATACAAAACCTACATTTAGAAAATATTTTATTTATTATTTATAATTGAAGTTTTTCAGAAGACATTGAAAACGTTAGTAGATTTTACTAGGTTAGTAGATATAGTTTGGTTTTATTACCAGCTATGTAACGGCGTACAACACAAAATCTCTTCTTCGTAATGTATCATGTCTGATTTTGAGCGTAAGCAGCTCTTTTGCATATATCTGTGTTATGTATCCTTGTATAGTATTTATAAAGTCAGTTGAAACACCCAAAAACCTGCTAGCCGACAAACAATAAAAGAATAATATCATATTACCAGACATGGGCGCATCATTTATTTTTTTAATCAAATATATATTAATGTAGAACAGAAAAAAGGACAATTTAAATTTACTTAAAGCTGTCGTAAAATACATAAGCGTATAAAAAAATTTTTAACATGTCATATTAAGCAACAAAAATAATTTATAATTAAATGGCAATAGGCTATATTGACAGTATAATGATTTAATTATACTTCGTAAAATAATAAACATTTTTGCTGTACAGCACTGGCATGCATCGGCAGCGTTTCTTATCTGTACCCTTCGCCACCGGCTAGAAGGGAACCTCCAAGTAGCGTGTTAAATATTGGTGATTTTGAATAACATATTAATGTCCAATATTTATTTGATGGGATGTATCTTTCATTCCATCTATTTCCTACGAAGTACGGGGATTGTTCAAATAAGTTTGAAACATTGACGGGTGTTATTTATACTTTAACTTGATTACCGGTAAATGTAATATTGAACTGCCCTTATAAATCGAGTCGGAGGGAAATGTTTCAACTGACTTTATAAATACTATATCTACAGATATACGGGAACTCGAGTTTAACTCCAACTCAGAACGTTTACGTGTAGAGTCGCTGTAATAGAGAGATTACGAGTTAGTGGTTTTATCAGGGCCTTTAAAGGTGCAACCTTTACAATACTTTTTGATTTTGTAATGAGAATCGAACCAAAAGCGGATACACTCCCACTGAGTTTATCCTCTCATGGGTGACTATTGGTTGGTTACCTATCTAGCTGTCAGTTTCATACTTCCAATATTGGGCATAAGCATCCCTTAATTACTTCCATTTTTCTCGGTTTCATCCACCTAGGACCCGCGAATTCTAGTTGTATTCTAGTAAAATTGTGTGTTTTTTTAATTAGCTTATTGAATTTATTATTTGAGATGTGGATTTATCAACGAATATTGAGGATCAGTTGGGTTGATCAAATAATAAAGGAAATAGTTTTACACCGAATGAAAAAAAGCACAGAACTAGCAAAAACAATAAAAATTCGAAAGTTACAATATTTCGGCCATGTAATCAGACATCCAGAGAGTTATTACCTTTTACACCTCAAAATACAGAGCAAGATCGCAGGAAGAAGAGGCTCAGCCTGAATAACATCGTGCCTCGGAAATCTCCTAGAGTGGTATCAAAAGACCTCCGCTAATATGTTTTGAGTTGCCGTAAATAAAGTTATTATTGACAATATGATCGCCAACGTTCGATAATCAGACAGGGTACTAAAAGAAGACTGAATTTATTGTTAAATAGCTTCTGTTTCCATTTAAGTTGGGTTATTTTAGTTTTATGGTACTAGTTTAATATGGCACTTTAAGTTGTTATTGAGTGGTTTCATTAAGTAGTCAGTTGGACTTCATTGATTGAGAAGATATTCTAATCCACGATTTATTACAAGGAATCTTCAGAAAATGGAAAATATCGTATTTGAATAGTATACAATATATTTGTTAAAAAGGCGTTTAAAATAAAAAATTTGTTATATATTATTCTGCAAATATAAGCAAGCAAGTAAGTAAGCGAGGTCTATGAATTATTTATAACGTTTATTCATCCTGTAGGTTACATAATAATTCTGGCAAGTTTTTTTTATCAACTGCTATTTTATTTAACTAATTCCATTAAACTATATTGGAACTACTCCTTCGAATTTCTTCACCACACTTCTTCCATTAGTTCGTTCTACTTTTATATTTCATTACATATTTATAAATCTCCACCCTCAACAAGTATCCTTCTTCTTAGCTACGATAACGAAGACGCCAGGTTTCATTCTAATTTATTGGGCCTATTATTTTGTGAGGACTTTCTCATCTAGAATCTTATGTTTTTAAATTATTTGATAGATTTAAATGTCTTTAAGGCATCTTCTTGATTCATAGTTTTTAAGTAGCTGAACGCTACCAATAGCCCTAGGAAATATCCTCACAATATTTCAAGCGGATTTACTAGCAATCGATCTTTTCCACAAAACTGCCTTAACAATGCCTCAATTCGATGAAAATATTCAGCATTCAGCTGATATATTCATATAGCGAATAATCTTCTTGGTGTTATGTTAGGTTAGGTTCAATTTGAGTGAACCCTTAACTGGTTGTCCATTAAGCCCAACCTTTCTAACAAAGTCTATGCTGGCCTTTGGTGACAATTTTACGAAATTGTAGGGTCCGAGTTGATGCTCAAATTGAGCTTTATCCTATCAAATCATAGGCAGTTGCACATAATGCGTTAAACCGTCTCGTCTTCTCACTTTTTGTCATTCCAATTGTATTCATGTGCCCCTTGACGCGACAGTATCCTGTTAGAAGACCTACGATAATTCGCAGATCGCTCCTATTTAGATCTAGTAGATTTTTGGATCTCTTCTTCATGTATAAAAGCCTTCCAATGTTTAAGAACCATTATTTGTTTGTAGGTGGTTACGATACTCTTCCGTTTCAACACGTCCGATATCGTTCTTTTCCCTGTGCTTCTTGCTATGCCAACATAAGGTTATGGGTATATGAATATTTCTTTTGTCCTTCCTCTTGCAAATAGGTCCGCTTTTTCATTCCCATCAATACCAGTAAAACCAATTGTATTAAAAATCTAAAAATTAATAGAAAAAGTAATCCAACACATATTACACTAGCAAAAAGACAAAACTATAGAAAATAGAAAAATGGTGTGTTAATTGGTGATAGGAAGGCTACAAGGGACATCCTTGAAGCCAAGAGACATCAACTGAAACTGAAAAGATTATTATAATCTTTTTGCAAAAATACTTACAGATATGCTAACTGAACACTGTTGTCTTGATGTTATCTTTATAAAATGTGCAAAATGGACAAACCTTTTGGACTAAAAGATAGATATAGGGTGAAACACCTCCCAAGAAATCTATAGGTAATCCGCAATATTTGTGCAACTATTTGTATGTTATAACAATTACTAAAATCTTTATGTATCACATAAAAGACTCTGAATTATATAATTAACTGGGAACCAGATATAGAACTACCACAAACGCATGTAAATGCAAAATGAACATGTAATTGTTACATGAGTTATTGTGATATATACTTACTATATTTACGTTTAGTTTTACAGATTGGAACCAGACAAAATCGATGTTTAAAATCTTTAGGTATTTTCTTTTTCAAGGCATTGTTTTTAAACATTTTTTATTTCACGTTCAATTTGCTTTCAACTGGATCGTTGTATTAATATGGTACTTATATCTGCATCTAATATAAACAGATCGATTTTTGATGTTAGACTGTACCTTATTATAAGAAGTTAATGTTTAAAAACGTTAAAGAAACTAACCTAATTTCAGCATATTCTTGCATTAAACCAGATCTTCCTCTATCCCTAACATAATCTACTAATTGCATAGCAGTCAAAGCAGCACCATCCCCATGAAGAGAATCATCATCGGAGAAGCCGCTGGAAGCGCTACTTGGAGGATTTAAATTCGCCTCCTCCGCCCAACTATCCACGCCGTTGCCTGATCCGGAGATGTCGATGTCGCTGGGAGCCGAAGTACGCTTTTGGGGCGACGGCGTCTTACCATCTAAAACAGACAAGTTCATTATTTGCCTAGTAAATCATAAATTTTGAATATTTGTATAGATTACAACTATTTTATCACTTGAAGATATATTTATCTTCAAGAGTATGTGGTTTTTGTTGAGACTTTTGAGAAATATAGACATACTCTAAATGTTAAATGTTTTTTTGACATTTATACTGTAATAAAATATAATCCATAGAATATAAACAGATCTTACAGATTCGTTTTACCCATATCCATATGAGTATGTAGAAGTCTGTTTATATTTGAACCTGATTTGTAAGAAGATAATTTACCATTATTGTTAGATAACTTACCATTCGTTTAATGGCTTTTTTATGTTATTAATATTTTTTCCAGTTATTTTTTTTTAAGAATTAAAGTCAAATATGATTAAGCGAATGAAATCATAGATTTTGCAGTCACTATCCCAACCTCGCACACACATATCTGCACCGAAACTAATTTATATGTATATATACTATGAGTTGGTAATGTTATATTAACACAAAATTATTTTATGTTACTTTAGAGATATAAAATGCTATACCATAAATTTTAGATGGATTTGTCTTTTTAGTTTGGCATATAGCTAAAAAGACAAAAAATATATAGACTTAGTATTCACTGCTTTTCAAAATATGTTATCGATACACTTTTGCATACGTTCAAACCAATTGGTAAAACAGTTATTCCAATCTTCAGTTGACACCTGCATAATCGCTGTTTTAAAGGTATCGATGGCCTCTTCTGGCGACCAGAATCGCTGCCTACGCATTGAATTCTTGATCTTTGAAAACGTGAAGAAGTCGTTGGGACTTAGGTCGAGGCTATACGGTGGATGATTTAAGAATTAGATGTTTTGAAGCTCTAACACCTCTCTTGTCTTTTGGGCAATGTGAGTACATTGTCCTGATGTAGGATGATAGGTCCTGATTGCCGGAATTTCGCGATAACTTCTGGTAAATAAACGGTTAAATACCCATAAGAACTAACCGTTCTTCGATCTTCTAAAGCAATTGTTGCCACTTGACCATATTTTGACACAAAAGTTGCGACAATTTTCTTTGAAACACTTCGAGAATGGATCACGTTTGTTGGTTTTTCCTCATTTTGAAACATTCTCACAGCGGATTGGAGTTTACTTTCCGGTTCGTAAGTTGAGTAAATCCATGCTTCATCGCCATTATTAATACTATAAACGTTTTTTGAGCATCCTTTGTTGAACCGTTCCAATGTTTTTCGACACCAATTGATGCGAACAGCTTTTTGCTTGTTTGTGAGCAAATTGGGAAACCAACTTCGTCCAGTTCTTCAGGTAGGTTTTGAATCGAGATCTTTGAAATGCCCAAAGATGCATCTATCTCCCAGTATGTTACACGGCGGTCATCCTTAATTAGCTGATGAAGCGCAATCACCTATGTGCCTACTGTTTGGATGGACCTGGCCTGGATTCATCGATGAGAATGGAGAGATCACGTTCAAATTCGCAATACCAGCGGGAAATAGTTGACTGGTGTGAAGCTTCATTCCCAAATTCTCGGCTAAGATCCATTTTTCGAGCGACTTGCTAATTTCAAAAATTCACCGTATCTACACGACTTGTTGTATTGCAATGAAACTCTCGATTTATGTAAAAAAAAGATTGAGGTTACATTTGTGTCGGAAGGTTTTATTGGTGGCGCCCTCATTTAAATAGTTTGTGATTATCTACAAATCCGGGTTCACAGTCTTTTTATCTCCCTAGTCATCTATTATAGGCACACTGTAGATCCACTATATAGAAATCTCGACAGCCCTACAGGATATCAATGCAGAGATTGGAGAGGCACAAGGTGAAAAGTGTATAGGAAAGTATGGTCTGGGAAATCGCAATGAGAAAGGAGAGCGTCTATTATAATTAAGAGCAGAACTTGATTATTACAAACACATTTTTTAAGCTACCAGACAGACGACTATATACAAGGCGATCGCCCGGATATACACCGGGGAAAGTTGTTAAGAATCAGATAGACTACGTTATGATAAATGAAAGATACCGTAATGCTGTTAAAGATGTGAAAGCATATCCCGGAGCAAACGTGGCCTCAGATCACAATTATCGCCGGGAATACCCTTATAGTTAAAAACATTAAAAGGCATCAAATAATCTCTACAATAGACACAAGAAAGCTTAAGAAGCCCAACGTAAAAGAATGCCTGAAACACAAACTTCACATGGACTGTAGCAAGCTGAACATACACACGAATGAGCTTGACGATCACTAAACATTGTCAAGAAATACTAAGGAGAAACGTGGAATGGATAAATGTCAAGACACTCAACATAATAAAACAACGGAGACAATGTAAGAACAAAGATAACAATAAATACAGTGGTACAAGTTACTAACAAGTGAATTCTCAACTTTTTGAGAAATGTAAAGGGATCGAGGATCGTCAAAAAATATAAGAACCCTTTAATCTACAGGAGAAATCCCACTGGTGCACTTCTGGATGAAAAAAAGCAAAGCTGGGCAGAATACCTCAACAAACTGTTCGATGATGAAAGAGGGGATCTAGAACACATAGAACTTATTTCAGAAGAAATAGGTTCGGATATTACAAAAAAAGAAATATGATAAGTATTAAAAATAATGAAGAGTTGGAAAACCTGACATTATATCAGATTAATAAAAGTTATACATTAGAAGCACATTGAAGTCTTAGAGACACTCTTTAACCAAATTTATAGTAAAGACTTATTCTCAAAGACTGATTGACTTCGATCTTTATTTGTTTCCTAAAAACGAAAATCGTAAGAGAATGAGGCCATTGCCGCATCATTATACATAATGAAACACAGTTTTGGTTTCACAAAAGCCTAGAAACGCGCAAGCCGCTTTTTTCATTAAATATATTAATTCAAAGGTACATGGACGCAAATCAAGATATATATGCGTGTTTTATTGACCAAGCTCATTCGTGTATATGTTCAGCTTGCTACAGTTCATGTGCATAAAGTATTCAATAAAGTACGACATGAACAATTAATGAATATTCTGAAATCAATAAAGAAGACCATAATGACCTCAAAATGATATTGAATTAATATTATATGCAGCGAGCAAAAGTACGTGTTATTATAGCCAATCGGTTTTAATGCCTACTTGGAAGAGTAGGCTGAAAAAGCCGTTGACGGTGAAACAGCTGGAATAAATGTAAATGGAGTTCCCATCAACAACATTAGATGATGATACTAACATCACAATGGAAAATATTGAGGATCTTTTCCAGAAACTGGTGACCAGCATAGCCGAGTATGAACAATAATAAGGTCTAACAACATCAACACGACGAAATTAATGAAAATATAAAAAATTCAAACAAACAACGAGAATTTAATAATAAACGAAGTATTATAGTAATAACTCCACAAAAATTCTTATTCTTCTTCTTCTTCTTCAGCCTGCTTCCATCTACTCCGGGAAAAAGACCTACCCATGAGTTCTACTACGACTGTGTTCGCGTAGTCCTCAGTGCACAATGTTTCTCGTCCATGTTTAATTACGCCAGGTATCCTACCCAGCTCCATTTCATTTGCGCAATTCTTCCAGTTACATCTTCACCTTCGTCCTGCTTCGCACATCCTCGTTTCGTATATGTTCTCTCAGAGAAACTACATAACTCGTTTGATGGCCCTCTATGCTGTTCTTAATCTATTGGCTAACTCTGTAAGTATCACGGTCTCCATTTCATAGGGCATAACTGGTAGAATGTAATTGTTGAATACTCTTTTCTTTAAATTCATGGTAACTTTTTGTATTCCAACACAGTTGGATCTCTTGGATCACAGCTAGTGATCTCTGTTGTTTTTCCCAGTTTAATAGTGTGACCTTACTACGGAACGTTTAAGTTCCTTTAGCATGCAGATTACGTCGTTTGTATTATTGTATACGAGAACTATGTCATCTGCAAATCTTAAATATCTGCCATCGATTTTAATTCCGCGTTGTTTTCAATTTAACTTCTTGAACACATCTTCTAATGCAAGAGTAAACAATTTTGGACAAAAAAACTTACATAGAAGTAAAGAGTTCTTGTGTACAATGGTATATTTTATTAATAAAAAATATAATACTATTTATAAAATATACCATTATACACCAGAAGTCTTTACTTCTATGTAAGTTTTTTAAACTTTGGTATACAGCCAATCAGTGAGATTTTTCCCTGTTACTTTGGAATTTTGCAGAAATGATGTCTACCTAGCTAACTCGTCTTTTCACAAATGATAATTTCCAGAAAATTAAAATCAGGATAGTACAGGCTCGGGCAAACTTCAACAAAATGAGAGGAGTGCACTGCACAAGGGATTTAAAGTTAAAGCTAAAGAGTTACATTGGCGAGGTGATACGTTATGTCGACTTCGTTTTATGAAATTGAATGGAATGAAAAAACTGAAAAAGAGGTTCTGAGAAGGATGAATAAAGAAATGGAAATTGGAAAAATAATAAAAAATATAAGATAATAAAAGGTTTTTTGAGTTTGAATAATTTAAGTTGTTCGTACCTCACTAAATCAAACCATTTTTTATAATCCATAAAGCAAACATACATATCTTGTTTACATCTAAGAGCGTAGTGTCAGTACGTTTAAACTAAATAGGACCCTTCTGGTTTGTAAGCGATTGCGGAATAAGTGATTTAGGTATTAAGTACTAATGTAGTTTTCCTTCCAATTATTTGTATATTCAGTTGTGGATAATCTTTAAAATCATTTTCAAGTAGTAATTTAATAGATTAATAAGTAATTTTTGTTAGCCAATTCTTTTTCATATTGTTAGGTGCGTATATCACTTCTTTATTTGATAGTTTTAGACCATTTTTTATTTTTTATCTTTCTATGGATCCCTGCCTTGCTGACTTGAATAGTCTCCCTATGCATTTCTTCTACACTACTTCCATTTGTACCACAGCAAGTAATCAGAAGAAAGAGATAAAAGATTAATTAAAAATGAT